GGGGCCGGATGTTCCCTCGGGAGGGGCCCCGCTCCCCTGCCGGCGCCCGCCCCCACCCCCTCACCAGGGGCTCCAGCTCCTTGGCGTCGATGAGGCCGAACTCCCGGACGAAGTAGTAGAAGTGCTTGTAGCAGGTGTTGACGTGCGCCTCGGAGCCCATCTGCGCGATGCGGTCGAAGTGGTGGATGTACACGTGCACGAACACGCGGAACAGCCGCGACAGGATCTTCCGCACCGTCTGCAGGAAGTTCTTGGGGAACGGCGTGCCTGGGGGGGGACGGGGCGTCAGGACCCCGGGGAGCGAGAGGCTCCGCCAGTCGGTTCAGAGAAGGAAAGCGGGTCAGGGGCTCACGCCGGTCATCTCGGCGCTTTGGGAGGCGGAAGCAGGAGAAGTGCTTGAGGCCAGGAGTTCGCGACCGGCCTGAGTAGCAGAGTGAGACCTCATCTCAGGCAAAAATTTCAAGTCCGCTGGGCGTGGTGGCGGGTGCCTGTAGTTCAAGCTGCTTGGGAGGCGGAGGTGGGAGGATCACTTGAGCCCAGGAGCTGGAGGATGCCAGGAGCTGTGACTGCACCACTGCACTTCAGCCTTGGCAACAGGGTGAGACCCCAACTCAAAAAAAAAAAAAGAAAGAAAGAAACCCTAAAAGCAAGAAAAAAATTCTTAAAGTTTTCAGTTCAAACGTTTATCAAAGAAAAACATTAGCCAGGCACATAGGCCCATACCTGTCATCCCAGTGCTTTGGGAGGCGGAGACAAGAGGATCACTTGAGCCCAGGAGTTCAGACCAGCCTGGGCAACATAGCAAGACCCCATCTCTACAAAAATACTAGGAAAAAAAAAAAGAAAAAGAAAAACGCCTGTGGTTTAGGATGAAGTACTGACTTCTCATCAAGAAAGAGACATGCAGCCAGGCTCAGTGGCTCAGCCTGTCATTCCGCGCCTTGGGAGCCTGAGGTGAGTGGATTGCCTGAGCCCGCGGATTCGAGACCCGCCCAAGCAACTTGGCGAGACCTCATCTCTACAATCAATCAAAAAATCAGCCAGGCGTGCTAGTGTGCACCTGTAGTTCCGGCTACTCGGAAGGCTGAGGCGGAAGGATCGCCGGAGCCCAGCAGGTCGAGGCTGCGGTGGCCACAAGTGGCCGCTGCACTCCAGACTGGGTGACAGAGTGAGACTCCGACTCAAAAATAAATAAATAAATAAAAAGAAAGAGACATGCCACTAGACAAGGCACAGCAGCTCGAGCCCATAATCCCAGCACTTTGGAAGGCTGAGGCGAGAGGATTGCCCAAGTCCGTGGGTTCGAAACCAGCCTGGGCTACATGGTGAGACAACCCAGAAGGCTGAGGTGGAAGGACTGCCTGAGCCCAGCAGATTGAGGCTGGGTTGGTCATGAGCATGCCCCTGCACTCTAGCCTGGTAGTTGGAATGAGAATCCAACTCCCAAAAAAAAGGGCAGATGTCATATGTGCAACTGAAGATGGCGACAGCGCGGAATACCTAGCCTCGTGGGGTGGGGGGCGGGGGTCACCCGTGTCTCTGCTAATGGCGTTGTCAGCTGCTAGAAGCTTTCGGCAGGCAGCATCCACCTCGATTTTTGTTTGTTTTTTTCAGAGGCAGGGTCTTGCTCTGTGGCCCAGGTTGGAGTGCAATGGCATGACCAGAGCTCACTGCAGCCTCTAGCTCCTGGCCTCAAGTGATCCTCCTGCCTCAGCCTCCTGAGTAGCTGAGACTACAGGCGCCAGCACTTTGTTTTTGTAAAGATAGGGTCTTACTATGTTGCCCAGGCTGGTGAACTCGTAGGCTCATGCAATCCTGCTGCCTCAGCCTCCCAAAGTGCTGAGATGGCAGGCGTGAGCCACCATGCCCGGCTCAAGGTACATCATAGACTCCGAGCTGGGGGACTGTCCTGCCAAGGGCAGGGTGGTCTTGAAGCATGGAGGGTCTCTATACTGGAGGTTAAAAGATCCGAGAGGCTGTCTAGCGCACACCAGCAGGCATGCTGGCTTGACACCGAGGAACTCTTGGTCTGATGGCGACACCCGCCTCCTCTGTGTTGCTTCCCTCTGAGGGGCATGAGGGTGACGGGAGGGGGCTGAACACAACCAGCTTGGGAGACAGCTCAGAAATGGGAGCCCGAGGGCTTCACCGCCACACTGGCGAGGCCTCACACAGGGTCTCAAGGCCACGGTTGGAGGGGCACACCGGCCCGGCTCCCATCTGTGAGAATAAAGTTTTTTTTTTTTTCTTTGAGTTGGAGTCTCACTCTGTCGCCCAGACTGGAGTGCAGTGGCCACTCCCGGCCACCGCGGCCTCGACCCGCTGGGCTTCGGCGATCCTTCCGCCTCAGCCTTCCGAGTAGCTGGAACTACAGGCGCGCGCTACCACGCCCGGCTAGTCTTTGATTTATTATAGAGACGCGGTCTTGCCAAGTTGCCCAGGCGGGTCTCAAACCCGCGGGCTCAGGCAATCCACTCGTCTTGGCCTCCCAAAGTGCTGGGATGACAGGCTGAGCCGCTGAGCCCAGCCAGTGAATAAAGTTTGGTTGGTACACAGCTGCGCCCTTGGTTTGTTTTGTCGCGACCATGTCATTCCTACCAAAGTGATTTTCCCGTGCTCTTCCCATCAGTGTGCTCCTTGCCAAATTACAAGAATTCACTTTTTTTTTTTTTTTTTT